AATACAATACAGGAGACCAAACACTTTCCACTTTCCCTCCAACGCGGCCATGACTTGATCGGCCGGGAAACTTATAGCGTCGCGGCGCAATATACGGCCGAGCTTATACGAGGCCCTCCGACCGAGGCCAAGATGCCCCGAGCGGAGCAGGCCTCTGGCTGACTGAGTCTTTGCTTAGCTGGCCGTACGCAAGCCAGCAGGACCATCCGGCTGTGCAGAGAGACAGCCAGGGAGTGCCAACTCGGGCCCCTGTTGATATAGGCGTGGAAGGGGATACTGACTCCTGTTCGAGGGTCTCAGATAGGCGCCTCTTCAACGTTGTGTCAACTTGACACTGACAGTGTCAAGATACCCGCGGGCCTCGGCACGCTCTGCGAACAGTCGACCTGCTTCAGCGTTCTTCTTAACCTTCATAATCTCCTTGCAATGATGACGTCGTGGCAATCATCTAAAACACGGCCACATTTGTCACACAGAAGCTTCACTGAAGGCTGCTCTAGTGGTCTCCCCGCTTTGGGAGAACTGGAGTGGCATCGAGTTAGTGTGTTGTTCTTCGGGTTAGCGTACACTCGACACACCCACCTGTGTCGATAACGGCCATCCTGGAAGCATTGTCGAGACTTGCGTGTAGTGACTGCATCACAGTCAAAGCGCAGTGGATCGATGAGGTGCCGCTTTTGTTCCTTCCACTATTCGTAGCGTATCTTACCAGCTCCCAGTTCGGTAAAACGCCTTCTACAAGCGTCACACATACTCTGTATAGGTTATTAAGAATCTCAATCTGAGATGGTACTCATAACTTATGAGTCATAACTTATGACTCATGACAGTCATGACTCATAAGCAGTTGCAGATACTTCACATGGGGTTTCCGGCCTGGAGGCATTTCTCATTATATTCAGCCCGAACAATTCGGGAGAAGAATCCTATTAAATTTGAATGGTGTTGGCTAGATAGCTTGGAAAGGCGTATGGGTGATTCAGGTGACTACGCTAGTGTCGTGGGATGATGCACGTTACGAAGTTGACTCTCAATCATTGACATTCATCGCATTAATTGATGGGAACTCAAAGTTTGAGTTTCCCAAATGATTAACATTGATCTTGACCAACAATTACCTTGACGAAATATCTATCCGAATTTTCGCCCTCCCGACTGCGGAACACGAAACCACGACGGTCTCAACGGGGTGGAAAAACTCTGATCCTCACATCCATCCTATCTTCGGCCACTAATCGCCACGCAATAAAATATCTATTACGAAATTCATGGTCAGGTTAAAGAAAAGCAACGCGTCGGTGACTAGGTATGCGCGTGTAGACTGTAGAGGCTCTACCGTAGGGCAACCACAATCGCTCACAATATCGATCAGGTAAAAAATCTCCGAGACTACGTACGAAATTAGAGACAATAAGGCAACCTGTTCGAGATGGATTGGCCACTCTCCGCTAATGAGGAGATGTTGAGATATCCACAAAGGGCATAACGGAGAAAGAATTGGCCTTCGCTAGAGTATCTCAGAGAACCAGAGTACTATATCTCTGGAGGTCACCCAAAGACATGACATTGGATACGCCGAACCGATCGCGAAGCTCAGGAGGAATCGTGTCATAGCGTTTCTTAAGGATTTTCAGAGCACCTGTGCAACTGGCGATGAAAGTTTTCGTGGAAGAGATACGCACCTTCAGTAAAAGCACCAGATTTATCCGTGTCCACATCGTGTTTTCCTTGATGGTAACGATGCTTATGGAATCCAACCCATAAGGTCGAAATATTTCCGTTGTTCCCTGTATCCCAGAGCTCGATCGCCAGTGCATCCGCGAAGTCGGGTATGAAGACATTTTCAGGCTCCACGGATAGGATCTGAGTCCGAATGATGGCCGGCCAGCAGTGACAATGCGCTGTCGAGAGTTCACTCAGACACTTGCGAGAGTAAGGGAGATTTCAACCTCTGATTCCCCGTAAAGCCTCTGATTCTATATCCCATGCGAATATCCAAAGATTCTATACTCTATGATAGAGCTCCTATCCTAGAAGGCTAAGCGACGCTTATTAAGCATGTATAGAGGCAATATAATGAAAGTTTCATTACATTATGAGCCTTTCATTATGGAACTGGCAGGAAGCGACAACGATATGCCAGTGGCATATTGTTGTAGCCTATTGTGGTGCCAGAACATACCGCGATTTTTCAAGAGGCGCAGGGACTTATCGACAATGCTAGTACGCCAAGCATAAGGGGATTCAAGGGAGGTGAATCCAGAACTTCTGAATCAGGAGCGATGAGGCCCACGACTTACACTCTGCAAGCAATATATATTGATATCATGTCCACCCAAAAAAGTGATCCCTTTCTGGATTAACACCAATTTATCCACCAACCAACGGAGGAGGCTCCCTGCACCAAGTTTGCCGATGGGCAAAGTCGCGAAGCGACGTCTCATGATCCATTCGCGTGCGCTCAGCACCTAAGGAGGAACCATCCGATAGCGTCGAGAGGCTGCTGTTTTTTTTCTCACTTCATCCACGAGCTCAGCAGCCCGGCCGGTGAATGGTAGGGGGAGATCGTGGACCCTATTGGAGATAATAACACCGGCAACCGCCCTGAGCTCCGCAGTGTGCGTCAAGTTGAATGCCTTTAACAGATGAGCAAATTCGCCCTTGGTCTTATTCTGGAATTCGGGAGATAGCTCCTGTTTTTTCACAAGTGCCTTCAATGCGGGGCTATCAGGACGAAGCAAGTCATCTCTCACTGGCACAGCAGGTCCTCCTTCAGGACCATCGAAGAATCTAATAGAACCACAACGTTGAGCACCAGAGTCTATTGAATAAACCGTAGATCATGAACGGTAAGTTCAACCGCACTCCAAGTTGGAAAACTAGATAAGAAAATTGATATATAAAGTGCGCTCAAATTGACCGACACACTTGGGTCGAGTAAGCGGTTGTCCATGTTACGGAGAAGATTCATCATGAACGTGAGCCTAATGTTCACCACAGAGCCTGAGAATTCGGAGTTGAGCGAATCGTCGAAAACGATGGGAGTATATTTATGGCGACAAAATGAGCAACCCGGCCTACCCCTCCACGAAGGCTTGTGCACTGAGCTGAGCCCTCTCTTTACTAGAAGAGAACACTTCCACCTTGTAGGGAAGGAGGTCACCCAAAATATCTCTGTATCGATGTCCCATGGCTCGCATTTGAGATTTCCCGAGACTTGTCAAGTCCCCGGGTGCCTGACACGAGACTTCGAACCGCTAGCCTCAAAAGTCTCAGCGA